ACAACAATATGTACTGTATTTGTAAAACCAGTTGATATTATTTGGATCATCTGGCAAACCTGGGGGAAGCATGTCTTTTTTTTTTTTTTTTTTGGTACCAGGGATCAAACTGAGGTCCTTGTGCTTACACAGCACGTGGTGAAACCACTGAGCTAAATCCCAGGCCCGGAAGCATGTCTTTAGTGACATTTATCTATAAGCCAACCTGGGTTATAAGCAAACATGTTAAAAAATCTAAAATGCCAAAAGAAAGAAGCTCAAACAAAACAGCTGTATGTGCTGTAACAAATTGAACAGACACACACACACATAAGACAACTTGTGTATAAACCAGAGTGCACTCAGATGTACTTTACCAAGTTGAATTATAATAACTTTTATGATTTTCAGGTTTCTAAGTATAAAAAAAGACTAGTCAGAACTTTGTAGATCAATTAACAGAAATCTCTTGTAATAAGAATCAAAAGGAATAAAAATATTTTATACTGGGGCTGGGGATTTAGCTCAGTGGTTCTGCCACCTGCCTTGCAAGCATAAGGATCCAAGTTTGATACGCGGTACCAAAAAAAAAAAAAAAAAAAAAAAATTTATACCTGTGGAAGCAAAGCAGTTAAGATGGGCCCTAAGGTGACAGTTTATCTGACTGGAATCCCCAGCTACACAGGCTTTTTATGGTTGTTTTTATAGCCTCAATTTAACAGACAGGTGTAATTTTTTTTTAAAGGGCAAACTGTGAAAGGTAATTTTAACTATCTCCAGTGTGGGTCTGCTCAGGCCAGGTTTGTATGTAGAAGAGACTAGGTGACTGTCTTTGGAGCTATGTTTGAATTTTAAACAGTGAGGGAGGAAGGCCTGCCAAGGCTCTAACCTGCTGTGTTGTAGATGTCTACCTATGACAGGTTTTTTTTATTTTGAAAAGAAAGGGAAAGGAGACATCCACATCTGTCCCTCTTGTTTTGTGTCCAATCTAAGGTGTTTTTTAGACTTTATCTCTTCCAGTGCCAGTGGTGGTAGACTAGAGGTGTAAGGAAGTGGCCAGAGCCAGGTTAGCTGTTTTTATCATTTTTAAATTTTGTCTGAGGGCTGAAAGATGGATAAATTTGAACTAAAACTTTGATATTTATCTTGTGAGAGTTTTAGGATTAAACCTAGACCAGTTTTTTTTATATGGACCAGAGATAAATGAAGGTCAGCTTTTCTCTGGAAGGATTTTAGGGAGGGGAAACTCACCATTTTGGAAGCTTTGTCTTGAAATCCAGCAGCCACAGAAGAGGGAAATATCTTGAATCAAACTGCATTATTTTTCAGGGGCAGGGCAGTGGAGAAGGGACAGAAGAGTGTCTTTAAGTGTGGCACAAGAACGAAATCTTAACCATCTCAGGTGTAGAAGGATAATTAAGATCAGGAACTTTTTTAGAGTGGATCTGTAATCCTTAGCAAAATATATCTCTAGAGACAAAGCTATGATTGACTCCAACTGAATTGTCAAGTAGAAAATCAAACCAATAATCAAAGAACCCAAATGGCTGTTTTTTGTCTCTTGAAAGAGAATTAAAGTGTTTTAACTATATTGTTTAGGGCTTATCCTTTTAGTGAATTACTCTGAATCTATAATATCTAATTTATGATTTAAATACCCTACAGGCTGTTGAGCAGGTCTCTGATCTTGTAGAAACACTCCCAAAGCTATGTCTCGCCTTTTATTAACATACAAACTGAAATGGTGTCCTATAACAGGCACTTAGAAGTGTTTGTTTGAGCTTCTGGAATGTAGTCTGGGAATAAGGTCCCCAGGTGTCTATCTCTTGGGATTTTTTTATAAGCTAATAGAGGGGTCATGCAATCTCACTATTTTGCTATCTGAAGGCCATAAAAGCCTGTAATTTTTAGGAATGTCCTTAGCTGTTTTAGAGTCTTGGGCTTTGGAAAGGAAAGAACTGGTTTAATTCTTTCTTCCCCCAGTCTTTGGGGTTTTTTAAAGATATAATAAGGCCTAAATATTTTATCTCAAGGCTATAAAGTTGTGCCTTAGATCTAGAAACATTATAACCCCTGTCTGCTAGAAAATTCAGCAGAGCAGATGTCTTGGCTAGAAAGCTCTTCTGAGGGGGCACATAACAGCATATCATCTATATATTGTAAGACTGACTTGGAAAAAAACTATATATTTTTTTAAAAAATCAAATCAGGATCTAGGGATGTTCTTAGCTTTTTTTTTTTTTGTAAATTGTTGACAATTTAAAATAATTGAAGGACTTAGTTTTTATCTTTTTTAGATCTTTAAGAATATATGCCTGAAAATGCCTTCTATTTTAATCTCCTATCTGATTCACAGGCCAGGGGGGTTCTTGTATAGAAACTGCTTGTGTTCCAGTAGGAACCAGTTAGTTCCCTGGCTGCCTGTCTTTTGAGCTTTAAAATTAAGATAATATTTATCTCTACATGTAGTAGCAGCTTGTAATATTACTTGTCTCTCATTAGAAATCAATATTAAAAGCAACATTATATCTTTTTTATCTAGTCCATAGATCTGAGTATGTCTTTTAAAGACCTCAATGATTATATCAGGGTTATCTGAAAACCCTTTTTTTTTGGTACTGGGGATCAAACTCAGGTCCTTGCTCTTGCAAGGCAGGCAGCAGAACCACTGAGCTAAATCCCTGGCTCCTTTCTTAGGTTTTAAAGGGCGAGGAATAGCCTCAGGGTTAGAGGTACTGAATGTCTTAAGGGTGAGGTGTCTCTCATTTTTTTATGTCTCACATTTATATTTGAACACAAGCAAGAATTACTTCTTAATGTAAAGAAAATATCAACATAAGATGATTTTGACCATTTTCTCTCTTTTACAGTATAATTTTAATTGTGAGATAGCATCATAGTATTTTTTTCTGTGTACTTGGCTTTAGGAGGTAGGCACACCATGCGCGTATGTAGAGAAATACTAAATTGCTCCTTAATTCATTCCAAAGGAGTAAGAGGTTTAGATATGGAGCCCCTATCTGAAACAAGAGAAACAAATATGGTGTCCCATAAGTAAGTCTCTGCTTGATTCCTGTGTCCCCCAGGGTGTCCTCAGGGTGTCTTCCAAGGTTTATTTTACTCCAGGGTAGGTAGCTACCATCTGGAGAGAGACCCAGAAAATAAAACTGGACCGGACTATCTATCCTTTACCAGCCCACTATCTTATCTTCCTCAGGTAACTCATATCCTTACAGTACGCATGCTCAAAGGACAAGTTATAATTGATTTTAGCCATAACAATCATGTTTAGAGAAGGAAGTATTGTTAGCAAAACAAGAAATTTAAACCACTGTTTTTTAGTTCCTTGAAAGAGAGAGAGGAAAATAGGTCAACAGTCAAATTAGGCCACTTTCCCTGCTAAAGAGATCTCCTCTAGAGATGGTTCAGAGATTCTGCCCTGGGTCCTATGGCAGAGAAAGCTGTGAGAAATTTTTGTTGTCTATCCAGTCATTTAGGCAACTTTTATTAGCAATAAAGGGCTACTCCTTTAAGGTCCATTTCAAATTTACTAAGTATTTGAAACTCATAGGTCCTCCTAGCAGCCCAAATCTATATAGCAAAGACGCCTTTATCAACTTCCTAGGCTAGTGTTAAGGAAGAGAAAGGCTGACCAAAATACTCCCATATTCTAATTAGCATGTAAAAACACAAAATGCAAGTTATTGATTGTTATTTTTCCTAGTGTAAGACAAAACAGTTGTTGTGACTTGTCTTATTCTGACTTTTTGGAAGGAGGAATGGTCTGACTACAGGGATTTTTAAATGAACTCCCAACAAGTTGGAGAAAAGTTTAAGAGGAGTTTTTAAGTCACTAGCAGAGAGAAAAAGCCCAAATAAAGCTCAAGCTGGTTAAACATCCAAAAAATCATGTAGCATTTTATAGGTCCACAATCAACATTCCAAAGCCCATAGCCTATCAGAAAAGGCATTTTTCTCCCCTACACACATAAATGATGAAGACCATGCCTAGCAGGGGGAGAGGAGGTTTGGGTAGTTTTTAATCTATCAAAGATTTGTTTTTTATGTCTGACATAGGATCCTATCTTACTAGTAGAGAAAGCAGTCCAAACCTGTAGCTCAACTCTTAACAGAGGCTTAAGAAAGGGCTCTGATGGCATTTTTTTAGATCAGTCTGAGACAGAGGATACTTGATGATCACTGACAGAGTTCCCCTTTCACCTCACTGAGGAGGCCAGATAGGGACAAGATGTGGAGATTTTTTTGCTGATTACCTGGGCAGGCTGTCAGGAACCAGTTTCTTCTGAGGGACCTTTGGGTATCTGCCAGAGAGTGGCCCTGGCCATGACCCCTCAGTTGTCACCTCAATTTCTGCTAGTTTCATGCAATCAGAGATCTGTCTTTGAAAGGAACCCAACTGCCTATCTGGTCAATGTTCCACCCACCACTGGCATCAATGGGAGTGGAGATTTACTAGAAGGCAATTGGAGAAACCTGTCCTCTGCTTTGAGAGTGGCAGCTGCCCTAAAGGCAATTATTAGCTGGCAGAGTAGCCACTCTTTGATGTTTGTTTGTTTGTTTATTTATTTATTTATTTATTTTTATTCAAATAAAACTTTAATGATTTCAGTTCAATACAATTGAAAATGTAATGTCATTAAACTGCATGTCCTGCAAAATTTCAAGGTACAGATATGTGGGCTTTTTCTGAGCAGAAGCATCATTCCTACTAAGCATTCAGCTTGTTAGCTAAGATAACTGACAGTGTCATGTCAGGAGTGGGGAAGAACAATGTTTGGCTCATAGAGTTTGGCTAAGAAAGGAAAACAATGCAACCAACAAAGTAGCTACAGATATTAGTAAAATGAAGATACAACCCCAAACATTCATGTCTTAAATTACTAGAAAAAAAAATACAGGTAAAGTTACACCAAATACAGTCTTCACAGATTTGGGTAACTTTATTTGCATTTTATGGTGATTTCTTAAGGCCTATATCCAATGAAACCATTTAAAAAGCTCTATGAGGAATGGAAATTCAGGTGTCTATGACTGTTTTCTTTAAAAAAAAAATCCTTAATTTCTGAATGAACAAGATTCATTTTTGTAGGTAGAGGACCTGCTTCTTCATGATCTTCAGTTTTAGATCTAATAACCACAGGAGAAGACACTGGGTATCTGCTTAGCTTCTGTTCATTCATAAACTTCAAGTCACCATAGATACTCAGTTTCTCAGAAGGAATGTACTGCTCCACAGCCGTAGCAACAGCTGCACAACAAATCCAGAGCAATACCATCACTGAGAGGATGAGAATGATGGCTAGGATGAGAATGATGGTTAAAATCCATTTAGAGTTCACAGAGAGGCATCTTAAAAATCCATCTTCAAGATAGTTCCTGTGTGCTTGTGAGCTTCTCATTTGCAGATCTGAGGACATTTTGCTTAGAGATGATTTTCTCAAATTTGTAGGCCCCTGTTCCAACTGTGGTGCATACTGAATTTCTGGCTTAGACTGGAATATGAGTATTTTTCCATCATTGGCTTGGAGATAGAAAGTCCAGGAAGAGGTGATGAAGCTCTGTGCAGAGCCCATCATGTCACTCCAGAAGGACCACACCAGGATCAGAGGGAAGAGCAGATGCATTTTTGGCATCAGGGACATGAGTTGTTCTTGTCTTAATTCAGCAAATGGCAGCTGACTCTGGGCAACCAAAATGGCAAGCATATTGCTCATCAGATTGGGAATAAGCTTCTGTACATGCAAATTCACATTCCAAATTGGTCCAATTTAAGTCAGTTCCATCATCCACAAACTGACAAATTGAAAACAGCCTGCAATCTCTCTGACATGCATACAACTCCTCTTCCTTGGGGTAGGTGTGCAAGGGGTAGGTCAGCTGACAGGCCCGGTGGCAGGATGCTGTATCACCCAAGACTGAGTTGACTGCTTTGGCTGAGGCAGTCCCTGAGCCTCCAGCCAGGGCCATGGTCAAAAGTAGCAGCAGTGGGAGCCCCAGTTGGACCCTGACCCAGAGGTTCCCCTTCAGTGCTGTCATCTTGTTCCCTCTGTCACCATGGCTCAGCTTGTTGCTGTTTTCTTTTCAGGTTTCACCTCCTTCCCCTGTTTGGTGTTCTGTAAGGGACAGATAAAAGCCTGAACTGTCTTTCTCTGAACCAATTTTATGAGACCCATTTTACAACATTTTTAAGCAACTAAGTCCAAATGCAACATATACAAAACAAGAATAAAACATAATTTTAACAAAAGACAATGAATAAGAAAAAAAATTGTAAACATTTAAAACACACAACTTAAAATTAAGACACTTTTGAAACAAAAACTGAAACAAAGGCCAGAATTTATGAAACCAAAACCAGAATCTATGAAACAAATAGCTGGAGCCTATGAAATGAAAAATAATCTATGAAGCAAAAAGACCAAAGTTAGAACCTATGAAAGACAACTCTTACCTCTGACCAGTAATCTCGGTGGGACCTCCAAAATGATATAGGGAGAAGAGATGTAACTCCCAAACATATTAGATATCCAAAACACAAGTTCATGTTTTCTAAAATTGAAGAATGAATTCTAGGAATAACAGAGGTTAAGAGTAGGAAAAGTTTATTGAGAGAAAGAAAGCTTCTGTCTAAGAGAGACAGAAGGGGGACCAGAAAATGGGTTGGCCACCCACCCCACTTTTCAAAGATGTTTTATACAGCAAAACCATGTAGTGAGGCGGGTACAAAGTGGGTCAAAGCCACGACCAACCAATAAGATTACAAGCAGAGTCACCCAGGTAATATTGATTAAATGGGGATCAAATGGGAAAACAAGTCACATACAAGGAATTTCCCATTTAGAATATCAATTACTGCTATCTATCCCCAGGGGAAGTAGTACCTCTTCTTCTTTATAATTCTAACCAGTGAATGTGCCTCAAATGTTCTCCATGTTGGCTCCTTGCTGTGTTGGCTCCTGGAGGGCTGACACCTTGAGGACTTGTGCCTTAAGGGAGGCCCTGTCTAACTGCCTAAAAGATATCTAATTAACTTACCTACCTACAATAGTATGATGCTTTTAATTCTTTTGAGAAGATACCAAGAAGGGAAATAGCTGGGTTAAATGGAACCTCTAGTTTTAGTTTTTTGAAAACTCTCCACACTGATTTCCACAGTGGTTGCACCAGTCTACACTCCCACAAACAGTGGAGAAGGGTTCCTTTTCCCCTATAGCCTGACCAGTATTTGTTACTGGTTGATTTCTTGATAACAGCCATTCTTTCTGGAGTGAGATGGAATATCAGCATTTCACAAATGACCAGTGATGTTGAACATTTTTTCATATATTTATTTGCCATTTCTAATTCTTCATCTGAGAAGTGTCTTTCATTTCAGATCCCATCTTTGGATTAGGTCTTTAAATTTGGGGGGGGGTCTGATTTTTTTGAGTTCTTTATATATTTTAGATAATAGTCCTTTATCTGAATAGCTGGTAAAACAATTTTTCCCACGCTGTGGGTTGTCTCTTCACTCTGTTGGTGGTTTCTTTTGCTGTGCGAAGCTTTTTGATAAGATGAGCTCCCAGTTGTTGGTTCTTTGTAATATTTCCTGTGCGGTCTGGGTTTTGTTCATGAAGTCTTTCCCTACTTCTAAGTCCTCAAGTGTTCTACCTATTCTCTCTTCCACCAGATTTAGTGTTTCTGTTTCAATATTTAGATCTTGATCTATTTCGATTTTAGGTTAGTCCTATCACCGTATTTTCTTTTTTTTTGGTACCGGGGATCAAACTCGGGACCTTACGCTTTCGAGGCAGGCTCGGTGCCAGTGAGCTAAATCCCCAGCCCTCTACTGTTTTTGTTTTTGTTTTTTTTAAAAAAAAGATTCTGGGCTGGGGATTTAGCTCAGTGGTTCTGCCTCCTGCCTTGAAAGAACAAGTTACTGAGTTCGATCCTTGGCAGCAAAAAAAAAAAAAAAGAAAAGATACTGTTTACCATGTTTATGGTTAAAAAAAGAAAAAGGTAGACTATTGTAGGCAGAATAATGGTTCCCCCATAGGTCTGAGTCCTAATTCCCAGAACCTGTTATACCTGTTATCTCTAGGGCAAAAGAGAATTAAGGGTGCAGATGCAATTAGATTGCTAATTAGCTCACATTAAAATAGAGAGCGTAAACCGGGTGTGGTGGTACCTGTGAGTAATCCCAGCAATCTGGGAGGCTGAGGCAGGAATATTGAAAGTTTGAGCCTAACCTGGGCAATTTAGTGACTCAGGAAGATCCTGTCTTGAAATAAAAAAGGGCTGATGATGTAGCTCAGTGCTAACACTGAGTTCAATCCCAGTACTGCAAAAAAAACAAAAAAGGAAGTAACCATAACCTAGACCATGCCAGTGGGTGCAGTATAATCACCAGGGTCTCTCTCCAAAGAGAGAGGCGGGAACCTCAAGGTCACAGTGCATAAGGAAGACCTGACTGGCTTTTGCTGGCTTTGGAGCTGGAGAAGAGCCTGAAGCCAAGAAATGTACACACCTTTAGAGCTTCAGGAGGTAAGGAAAGGGGTTCTCTCCTCCAGCCTCCACAGGGGAAGGCAGCCCTGCCAGTATTTTGATTTCAGACCAAACGAGACCCATTTTGGACTTCTGACCTCCAGAACTGTAAGATAATAAGTCAGTGTTGAATGAGTGGTAATTGGTTAGAGGAGTAGTAGAAAACTACTACAGGGAAAGAATGTCATTTCAACCCAGGCAAAAATGTCATTTTAGGGCCAGGGATTTAGCTCAGTGGTTCCACCGCCTGCTTCGCAAGCGCCAAGGTCCCCAGTTCGATCCCCAGTACCAGAAAAAAAAAAAATTGTCATTTTAGAGTCCCAAATATCTTTTCATGTCAAACCTTGCCAAAAAAAAAAAGGCAAATACCAAACAACTAAAATACTCGTGACTCAGCTGTTATGGGGGAGTGGGTAGCAGTGGTAGCAAACCTCATTTCTGTATGAGGATCAGATGCTTCGGAAAATACATCTATAAGAAGAGGCATACACTGTGGGTGGCGGCAGTATGCCTGAGGGTCCTGAGGATCTGTCTCTTGCTCCCACAGTGTTTGAACAGAAAGGGCCAGGGACTCCCTCTCTTCCAGCTTCTAACCATCCTCCGGTCTTCTGTCCTGTTACAGCCTCCAAGACCATCTCTTCGGACATTTCCTGCTTGCAAAGCCTTCCAACAGCATGTTTGGTTAGCTCCTTATTGCCACCAGCCACGACTTCTCAGACCCACTGGGATTATTTCACCCAGGTGGAGGCCCAGATACTTCACATCTGTGGGCTCCTTCTCCTCCCTCTCCGGGATTTTATTTTGTCCTCAGAGATGTGTCTCTGGATGGCATGGGCAATTTCTTTCACCAGTTGACCCAGAAGAAGCCTGAGGGCTCCAAGTGTGTCTCACATATGCAAAGCCAGAGCAGTGGCTGAGCCCTCTTCCAGGCCATGCAGAAGCCATCTCACAAAGAGTGGGGTAAAGTTCTGGACAGCAGGGAAGCTGCTATAGCTCTGCAGAAGAACCAGAACTAGGCCCTTTTGGCTCCTCATGCCCCAGGTGCTGCCCACACAGACTCCCTATCTCTGTGACTTCCTGGGAGAGCTGCTCCTAGATAAGGAAGGGAAGGTGGGTGACCACCTGATGAACCCCTGAACCTCCTGGCTAACGCACCCTCAGACTTGAGTGTCTCCTTACAAAGATCACCCTGGGCTGGGGGCATGGCTCAGAGGTAAAGCACTTGCCTAGAATGCACAAGGGCCTGGGTTCCATCCCCAGCCCAGGGTGAAAAAGAAAAGGATGGCAAGAAAATATGTGAGATGTTTCCAAAACAATTCAAGTTTCTTTTTAAGCTTTTGGGCTTTTCAATGAGCAAACCTCGATTTTCCAAAGGATGTAGCACATCACATCCATGTCCCCTCTCTAAATGAGAGGCAGATGCAACGTGGCAGTGTTGGGAGTGGTTCCATCTAGTTTGGGGCTGAAGGCATAGTCAAGGCCTTGTTTCCCTCACAGTGGAGCCTTCCACATGCTTGGTGCCTGCCTGAGCCAGGTCAGTAAATAAATAAGCAATTTAATGTGATAGATAAGTTTCTGTATTTCATGGTTGATATTTTGGTTCTTAGCCCCTCTGATGAATCTCTACCAAACCATCTTTTAAACTTTTTCAATTATTACCCATTATTATCCATAATAAGAAGATTTGGGTAAAGTTTTCCTTAACCTATTTTTCTTTACTTAGTTATTATATTATCACATTCATTATTTAATGATGACATCAAATCTTATCACAGTCATTGTTCAATGTTGATAGCTATAGAGTCCCCTAAAATGGCAACCCTTAACCATTTTCCTGTGTGACTCATGTATCAAAGCCAATGATGGCTAGCTTTAACTAGGACCTTACTATCTACAAGGCATTAAGTTTTTGGTTTTTTTGTGTGGCACCAGGGATCGAACTCAGGACCTTGTACTCACGAGGCAGGTGTGGTGCCATTGAGCTAAATCCCTGGCTCAGGCATTAAGTTTTATAGGCCTTAATTACCCCAGCAGTTTAATGTGATACACACCTTCAAGATTGTTTTATAAGGGAGAAAACTGAGTCTTGGAGAGGTCAATGAACTTTTTCAAAACTGCGTTTGTAGATGGTGGAACCAGGGTCCCAATCTAGCCCATCTGGCTTCAGATCCAAACTCTTACCCACTGCTACTAATGTGTAGAATTTGTCTAGGAGCCCATGAACACTAGCAAACTACAGCCCATGGGCCACATCCAGCTGTACCCCCATCTAGTGGAGATGCTAGGGCCAGCAAGGACTGCACCCCACCCTGCCCTTGTACTTCTCATGCACCTCCATGGCCAGCTGCCAGCTGGGGCTTGCTGAGCACCTCCTACATGCTGGGGACTGGACTGCTGCCAGTTGCTGGGTGCTGAAGTATAAAAATCTCAGTTGTGGATTTGGTGACTCAGTAAGTTGCTTTACTTCCAGCAAAGTGTCCTAGGCGACCAGGTCAAACTCTCTGAGAGACAAG